TAATACCTGTATGTTAAATTAAAATACATCTTTGGTTCTTTCTAGCACGTCGGGATTTTTTTTATTGGTGACACGTATATTTTAGAATTTTTAGCAATTTGCATGAAAAGCCAAAAACTCGTTAATTTAAAATTGAATGTTTACTTAAAAACCGACAGTTTTAATTAAAAATACCCATAAATAGACTAAGTAAATCAGAAAACTTATATAATTTCGAAGTTAACTCTAAGAAAATTTATACAAGCGTTAACTTCCATTGTTGCAGTGGCGGTAGCCATTTGTTCCGTGGCAGCAGCCATCCTGCTAATTGCCCCAGCATTAGAACGGTTGGCCTCCGCGTTCGTAGCAGCACTTTCAGCAAGCATCTAAGAAAATATGAGTTTTATTAATAATGCAATAAAAATACAATATTAAAATAAATACCCTTTCCGATTCGGCCTGTGCTTCGGCAATTTTCAAAAATTTTGCCTTTGTTGGCGATTCCTCCGTCCGTTTTCGCTTGGCGGTCCTGCGCGGTGTCTGCCTCGGAGTTTCGCACCGAAGCTCCGATTCGCCTTCTGACACCGTTAATGGAGGTAAGAGGATGGTGTCGAAATCTTCGTCCACGACTAGGCGGAAATTTTCATCCGCCGCCCCCAAGGCCACTTGCAGGTTCTAAAAATAGCATAATGAAAATTACAATATGATTAGCATTTAGTACTATACAGGGTGTCCCAGAAGCTTGTGCCAAACTTTAGGGCAAGGTAGGTGGGGGGGTGAGCTCACTGATAAACAAAAAATTTTCAGCTAAAAGTGTCACCGTTTTTGAAATATTTACATTTTTTCAAATTTAAAAAAAATCGTGCCTTTTCATGTGTTTTCTTTAACTGCAACTACAAACCGGGCAATACTTAGTAAATTTTTTATGTAAAATACTTCCAGATAGTTGCCTCTCCATACTCAAATGCAATGTAGTTAAAATATATTAAGGAACCATCATAAAATTAGGACTATTTCTGGATTTTTAACTTTTTGATATTTTCTTCCCCAACTTTGACTATCTCGGGTGAAAAAAAATGTACTGAGCTATAACTTTACATTACATAAAAAAATTGCTCATTTAATAAAGATTTCAGAAAGGTGCCACACTTACTGTTTTGAATAGAAAAAAAAAGTTATAGCCGCTTTTGTGGGTAAAGGACTGAGACACGCTAGAATGTATTTAATAGATTTAAATTGAATTTGCTCTTGTTACCGTCAAATGACATGCTAAATAGTACAAAGGTACATTATTACCTGCTCCTGACATTATTTTGTGTTACTTACCGGAATTCGGACTAGAGTCTATAACAAGGGCTATATCTATCAATATTTTGTGTGAAGGATGGGTTCACGTGAAATAAGATATACATGAGTTGTTTGAAGAAAAATTTATTCATTTATTGATAAAATATGCTCAAATTGGCGACCTTCTACTCTAATACAAGCTCGGCACCTTTTAAGAAAAGACGCTTTTAGAGATCTTAAACTCAATTGGGCTATCTCAGCAGCAGCTCCATTTATTTGTTCCCGCAAATGCTCTTCGTTTTGAATTGTTTTTGAATAAATTTTGTCCTTAAGACAGCCCCAGTAGAAAAAATCTAATGGATTCAGGTCTGGCGATCTAGCGGGCCACGTGATTGGCCCGTATCGTCCAATCCATCGGCGAGGATAAGTTTCGTCTAAATGAGCTCTTACTTCACGCCCGTAGTGAGCAGGGCACCCGTCATTTTGCAGCCATAGTCTTCGCCGCAGGTTTAAGGGTACATCTTCCAAAAGAGTTGGAAGCCGTTCCTGAAGGAACTCTAAATAACTGTGAGAGTTGAGCGTTGGCGGCAGTTCCACAGGTCCCAATATCTGACAATTAAAAATACCGCACCATAAATTTATTTTGTACCGGTACTGCGAACGATCTTCTCTCATTTCGTGAGGATTGTCTATCTGCCAACTGTGAAGGTTATGTAAATTAAAATAACCATCACGTTTGCATGATGATTCATCGCTCCAAATTATTTTATTAAAAAAGTTGGGGTCTGATTCATGCATTCGCAACATTTCACGGCAAAATCTAACCCTCGACAGGTAATCTCTTTCCTGTAGAGCCTGAACACGTTGAATGTGGTAGGGATGAAATCGATGGTCTTTTAAAGCTTTGTGAACTGTAGTTTTTGGTATTCCCGTCCGTCTTTCCATCATTCTCACTGAAGTCGATGGACCTAGTTCCACTTCCTCTAACACAGCTTCAACATCTACCGTTGCAGGACGTCCTGTTTCGCCGCCACGCCTTCCAGGTATGCGACCTTAAAAAAGTGAAAAATTATAGTTAACAAGCAAGCAAACAAGAAAGGTGTAAAAATCACTTACCTTCATATATTTCTCTATGGGTCCGGGCGAATACTTCTCGACCCGGATGTCGACGATTGGGGTATCGCTCTGCATAGAGTCTTTGAGCAGCTCTGGCATTACAGCAAGCTTCACCGTAAATTAGGTGAATATCCGCATATTCATGCGACGTATACTGCGTGTTCTCTGTCATAGTATTAATAACACAATGTTCGAAGGGTCCAATTTCACAAAATCCACTTTCACTAATTCCGGTAAGTAACACAAAATAATGTCAGGAGCAGGTAATAATGTACCTTTGTACTATTTAGCATGTCATTTGACGGTAACAAGAGCAAATTCAATTTAAATCTATTAAATACATTCTAGCGTGTCTCAGTCCTTTACCCACAAAAGCGGCTATAACTTTTTTTTTTTTTTTTTCAAAACAGTAAGTGTGGCACCTTTCTGAAATCTTTATTAAATGAGCAATTTTTTTATGTAATGTAAAGTTATAGCTCAGTACATTTTTTTTTCACCCGAGATAGTCAAAGTTGGGGAAGAAAATATCAAAAAGTTAAAAATCCAGAAATAGTCCTAATTTTATGATGGTTCCTTAATATATTTTAACTACATTGCATTTGAGTATGGAGAGGCAACTATCTGGAAGTATTTTACATAAAAAATTTACTAAGTATTGCCCGGTTTGTAGTTGCAGTTAAAGAAAACACATGAAAAGGCACGATTTTTTTTAAATTCGAAAAAATGTAAATATTTCAAAAACGGTGACACTTTTACCTGACAATTTTTTGTTTATCAGTGAGGATGATGATTCCGCCTGTGAAACGATCATGCTTATTGCAACAAATGCCGCGCAATACTAGTATCACCTCGTTCAGAAAACGGTAACGCACGTGCGATACGCATGCAATATTATATCGCAGCGGTGTCGCACGTGCGATACGCATGCGATATTATATCGCAGCGGTGTCGCTGTCGTGCATGTGTCCACAGTTTTCATCGCTTCCTACCAATTCCCACGTACTCAGCCTTCCGATGTCGCATTCATATCGTATCGCTTATGGCATCGCATATCGTATCGCTCTAATGTGCACCGTACCTTAGATCAAGGCTGTCGAAACTGCGGCCCGCGGGAGTGGGTGGTATCAACCTAAACCCTATGGCTGTGCCGGTGGCACGCGTACTCCGTTACTCCGTTTAACTGCCGCCGACTCAACGAAGCGACTTAGCTTACTAAACTAAATCAACTATTTGGTACTTAAAATACGTTGTACTACAATGTGAATCCGCTTCGATTTGGGTAGACAACGAACTTAACATGTCTTTGATTGATATATATCAACGCAAACGCGGCTCTTTGAGCCAAATGCGGCTCTTTGCTTAGCCAATTGCGGCTCTTTTTACTTTCTCTTTGCTTAGAACATTTTGGCTCTTTTTACTTTTAAAAACACAAGTTTCTTTGCTGGATATTCTTTTCAATTGTGTTGTTTTTTTACAAGCTTTAATTTAACTTGGTTATCCCGCGGAAATTTCCAATAGATTTTAAACTAACTTCCGACAAGGTAGAGACTTGAAATTTTTAGCATAGTTCCAATCACGATGACAATGCAATTTAAAATATAAATGAATTCCCTATATGGTCCAGGGATCTTGATACAAATGCGGTCAAAACCACTATAAAATTGTTAAAGCTGCCGGCGGTAGTAAATAAGAAGTATAGTTGAAGGCGCTGGTAAGGAAATCAACTCCAACAGTGTTTAAATTGGCGAACTGTTAAGTTTTAAGCACTTCTGTTAAGAATTACATTAGGTTTGTATAGTAACTTCTCCAGGAAAAGATTGCAGCGAGAGCGTAAAATTGAGAAGAAGAGAAAACTAGCAGAAGAGGTTGTTGAATACAAAACCAGAAAAAACTTGCAAGTGAACAGTTGTTGCACTGTTTTGACATTGTCTTGTAAACATTTTACTATTTATAAATCAATTTTAAACTCTATGCTTTGCACACAAGCACTTAAACAGTCGAGTACATCATTAATATTTTGATTTCCACTCATTTTACTTTTGTTAACGCTTAACCAATTCAACAAATGGCAGTTTTTGACATTAATTCTTCTTCTTTTGCTAGCTAATTTCTGCTAGTAAAAATTTCACTAGCAAGAATTTGCGCTATTATTACGCTCTCGATTCAGGGCTCTCTTGCAAATTTTTTGGGTTATTATACACTAAAATTAGTACTGACTATTTGTTACTATACAGACCTATTATTTAGTTTCCTCACACAGGGAGTTATTGAAATACAGAGATACAATAAAAGCCACGCATAATTCATATGCATGCAAATTAATTGTTTAAACACACATTTGGTGTTTTTAAAAAATATCGGACAGCGTGTCCGTTTATTTCCGAATCTTTTCTCTTACTGACTACTTTTACAATAATTTCTTATTTTATATCAATCTTAACTCTTAACTCCGTCTCGTTAAAACCCTGGCAGGTCTTTAAGTACGTTCAATACACGTCGCCATTTAGTTGGCCGCACAGGTCCAGTTGAGATTTATTCCTGGTTTTGCGCTGTATTGGCTCTGTGCACAATATCCTGCCTCCTGCCTGCTCCTTTGAGAGAAGGGAACTTCGGGACACTTAAAAGCGACTGTGCTACGTGTGGATATAGCGGCTTGAAGCGGAGACCCAATCGATTGGAAATGAATAAAATAAAACAAATAAATGAAACCAACGTCGATGTTATGGAGGAAGAATGCAGCGCATTCAGGAAGAGCAGTAGAGTCGTGCGC